GGGGTACAGGGCTAGCTGCACCCCAGTGCATCCCTGCAGGCTTTGTCCCTATTATCTCTGGGGTGGAGTCAGGCCCTTGGCCTGCTCTCAGACTGAGCCCCCCATGGATATACAGTTGTATCCTAGCGGAACCAATGGGGTTAGCATGTGCTGCCTTGCCCTTCAGGAGTCTGTAACCAGCAGTATCCAGTGACCAAACAACTGAAGCATTCTTTATTTAGCAGCAGAAATGTAGCCTAAGAGAAAATGTTGTTAAAACCTAGAGTCCTACCATCCCCTGATGTTAGCCCAGGAACGTCTGGCTTCTCCAGCAGGTTCCTGTGCATGAGTCCAGTTGCCTCCCATTGCTCCCCACCCGCCCCAAGAGTGGGGCCCCATTTAACCCCTTCTGGGGTCCTTTGTTCTTCTGAATTCACAGGCATTGGCCATTCCCAATGAAAACAATTTTGTAGGTTGGCGGGATACCAGAATGAGAACCAAAGCTAATAATTCTGGCTTTGATAACCAAAGCTAATAACTCTCCCTTTAACATTGGAGCTGGCAGAAGCTTTTGGGCCCAAACTCCCCTTCTTACCCCCCCCCCCACCCCCAGTGAAAAAGTAGATCGAGAGACAACAAAACAGGTTGAAATTTTTTTGTCAGTTTTGCCAACTTGTTCATTTTGGGAACAAACAAAATAACAGCCAAAATTCCAAAAATCCCATGCTGTCATTTTAAAAATGGAACAGTACAATTTTTCCAGTTCCAAATGATGTTCAGTTTTGAATTTACTTCCATTTTTTAAAATTAAAAATTAAAGAAAAAAAATAAAAACAAACCCCCCTGCTTGAAACTGAAAAAAAAAACCCTTTAATTTCAGCTCAAACAAAATGTTTCATTTGATCCTAAATGGAATTTTTTTGACTTTTCAATCTGCCATTTTTTTTTCAATTTTTCAGAACAGCCAGATGTCACAGAGTGTGGGGGAGTCAGGGCCCTGCACCCCCAACTTCCTGTGATTCACTGTGACGCTCAGCCAGCCAGGAAAACAAATGGTTTATTAGACGACAGGAACACAGTCTAAAACAGAGCTTGTAGGTCAGAAAACAGGACCCCACAGTCAGGTCCATCTTAGGTGGTGGGGTGGGAAACCCAGACCCAGGTTCTGGGCCTTCTCCCATCTCCCCAGACAGCTCCAAACTGAAACTGCCTCCAGCAGTCTCCCCCAGCCACACACCTTAGCTGCCCCTCCAGCCTTTGTCCAGTTTTCAGGCAGAAGGTGTCACCTGGCCCCAAACCCCCCCTGGGCTCAGGTTACATGCTGGCCGTCAAGTATCAGCCCTCAGTGAAGTCACACCCTTATATCCCACGAACATCTAGTATTAATGCAGACAGCAAACTAGTAAAAAGAACAGGAGGACTTGTGGCACCTTAGAGACTAACAAATTTATTAGAGCATAAGCTTTTGTGAGCTACAGCCCACTTCGTCGGATGCATAGAATGGAACATAGAGTAAGAAGATAGATATATACATACAGAGAATCATGAAAAGGTCGGAGTCGCCATACAAACTGTAAGAGGTTAATTAATTAAGATGAGCTATTATCAGCAGGAGAAAAAAACTTTTGTCGTGATAATCAAGATGGCCCATTTAGACAGTTGACAAGAAGGTGGGAGGATGCTTAATATAGGGAAATAGATTCAATATGTGTAATGACCCAGCCACTCCCAGTCTCTGTTCAAACCCAAGTTAATGGTATCTAGTTTGCATATTAATTCAAGCTCAGCAGTTTCTCGTTGGAGTCTGTTTTTGAAGCTTTTCTCTTGCAAAATTGCCACCCTTAAGTCTGTTACTGAGTGGCCAGCGAGGTTGAAGTGCTCTCCTACCGGTTTTTGATTGTTATGATTCCTGATATCAGATTTGTGTCCATTTATTCTTTTACGTAGAGACTGTCCGGTTTGGCCAATGTACATGGCAGAGGGGCATTGCTGGCACATGATGGCATAGATCACATTGGTAGATGTGCTGGTGAACGAGCCCCTGATGGTGTGGGTAATGTGATTAGGTCCTATGATGGTGTCACTTGAATAAATATGTGGACAGAGTTGGCTTTGTTGCAAGGATAGGTTCCTGGGTTAGTGTTTTTGTTGTGTGGTGTGTGGTTGCTGGAGAGTATTTGCTTCAGGTTGGGGGGCTGCCTGTAAGCGAGGACTGGTCTGTCTCCCAAGATCTGTGAGAGCGGGGGATCATTTTTCAGGATAGGTTGTAGATCTCTGATGATGCGCTGGAAAGGTTTTAGTTGGGGGCTGAAGGTGATGGCTAGTGGCGTTCTGTTATTTTCTTTGTTGGGCCTGTCCTTTAGTAGGTGACTTCTGGGTACTCTTCTGGCTCTGTCAATCTGTTTTTTTACTTCAGCAGGTAGGTATTGTAGTTCTAACAACGCTTGACAGAGATCTTGTAGGTGTTTGTCTCTGTCTGAGGGGTTGGAGCAAATGCGGTTGTATCTTAGAGCTTGACTGTAGACAATGGATCATGTGGTGTGTCCTGTATGGAAGCTGGAGGCATGTAGGTAAGTATAGCGGTCAGTAGGTTTCCGGTATAGGGTGGTGTTTATGTGACCATCCCTTAATAGCACAGTAGTGTCCAGGAAGTGGATCTCTTGTGTGGACTGGTCCAGGCTGAGGTTGATGGTGGGATGGAAATTGTTGAAATCATGGTGGAATTCCTCAAGGGCTTCTTTTCCATGGGTCCAGATGATGAAGATGTCATCAATATAGCGCAAGTAGAGTAGGGACATTAGGGGACGAGAGCTGAGGAAGCGTTGTTCTAAATCAGCCATAAAAATGTTGGCATCCTGTGGGGCCATGCCGGTACCCATAGCAGTGCCGCTGATTTGAAGGTATACGTTGTCCCGAAATGTGAAATAGTTATGGTTGAGGACAAAGTCACAAAGTTCAGCCACCAGGTTTGCCGTGACATTATCTGGGATACTGGGGTTTTTTCAATTTAATTTAATTTAATTTTTATTTGCATGAGGAGTTGAAACGAACTTTAGGGGGTTACTAAACAGGGACTGTTCAAGTCGAACAAACTACAGTTAGCAGGTGATTGGGGGAGGCCCAGCAATCCTGGGGAAGGCAGAGATGCAGGGGGGCAGAGGCTGATGTCTTTTTACAGCATGTGCACACACTATACCTGTGCATGAATTTGCCTCTCCTCCCGACAGGCTCACCAACCACTGAGCTATTCGCTAAACCTCTTCAGAACATTGTAAATGTAAAGCTGAAGGTAAATGAAACCACGACTTTCCTCAGCCAGCACAGGAGGAATTTGCTTTTTTGTTTTAGAAAAAGATTAATAAAAATATTGAAAAAATTCTTCTCCTTTTATATATTTTAACCTAGTAGAATTCAGAAGTTTCGTACAAAACTATGGTACCTGGAAAGAACATTCAAGTTCACAACCAGCTGCAAAGAGGATACACACAATGCCTACAAGCAGCTAGTAAAATGCCTACAAGTAGACTAGTAAAACTCCCATGCAACATTAAAAGGTTAATGCTCCCTACTCCCACCTCCATCATACCAGAGAACAAAAATCCCCATAGTTCGCCCAGCTCAACTAAGCTCTGAAGTGATAGCTGACAGGTGTGTCTTAAGCCATTCTTTTCCTTCCCACTGTAATCCAGACTGTGGGAGGATAACTACTGGGACTAACTTCTGAGGGCAGATGTGAATTTTCTGTGCCTTGATGGCTTCCCATCCTGGCTGGAGGCCTCCCTGGAAGGTGTTTTAGTGAAAATCACAGAGCAGGGGCTCACGGTCCAACTGTTGTGTCGATGGTGATGCCCTGTCGATGTGGGCAGCTGCAGCTCTCGCCGTTTCCTGCTGCCCGATGTTGCTACCCACCTCCCTGCACATGTACATCCTGGCTGTAGTGTCCACCCCACTCCCACCCCCAGCCCCACCCTAACAGCTGCTGCTTAGCTCTGCAGCCTCAGTGACGAAAACTTGCCTTCGCTGCCAACAACAATATCAGCCCCTGCCCCAACTTCTGGCCCAGATTGGTTAAGTGACACAGATAGCGCTCTCTGTAGGTCTCCAGGAAGATGTCGGCCTCTCGAGTCAGCTCCTCCTCTAGGGCCGTCAGCAGGGTCTCCTCCGGCTCCTTCATCTCCTCCCGGCACCGCCCCAGCAGTGACCTGCGCTTCTCCACGAACTGCTCCGCCATTGCACTCGGCGTCACCGTCAGACAGCTGAACATGCGCTGGGACTGGGCATCCTACATTATGTGGGAGTGGAGGGGGGGCCCAAGGCGGTTAGAAGGAGGGGTGTGTGACCCCATCTCACTGGAGGACCCTCTACTTTCCCCCCTCCCCTGCACAGCAACTTCCCACCTCCCCTGTGACTGAGATTGGGTCCCGGGTTGTGCCGGGCACTGGCCAAAACCCCCTGACTGAAATCAGAGCCCCCATTCTACACTGGAGTCTCCCATCTCTGCAGCCATCCTGGGAGCCAGACGTATGAACTCCTGTCTCCTGCCCCACAGCCAATAGCCCGTGGGACTGGCCTGGATTTTTCTCTGGGGTTCCCTTAGCTGCGGCCCAGCCCCCCACCCCACAGACTCACCTTCTCCCTCAGAAAGTCAGCGTGGTCTTGGCGGGCGCTGTCCATGGCTCTGTGGTTAAAGGCATGATGCTCATAGCGCCTTCTGTACGTCTCCAGGAAGGTCTGGGCCTCCTTATACAGCTCCACCTCTAGGGCCGTCAGCAGGGTCTCCTCTGGCTCCTTCATCTCCTCCCGGCACCGCTCCAGCAGTGACCTGCGCTTCTCCACGAACTGCTCCGCCATTGCACTCGGCGTCACCGTCAGACACTCGACCATGCGCTGGGACAGGCCGTCCTGTGTGGAGCCGGAGAGGAGGGGGCCCAAGGCTGTTAGAAGGTGGGGGTTGAACCCCGTCTCACCCATGGACCCTCTGGCTACAGCACAGCAACTTCTCTCCACCCCCCTGACCGAGATCAGAGCCCCCCCGTGCATGGGTTGGAGTCTCCCATCTCTGCAGCCACCCTGGGAGCTGGAGATATGAACTCCTGTCTCCTGCCCCACAACCCACAACCCACGGGGCTGGCCGGGATGTTTCCCTGGGGTTCCCCGGGCTGGAGCACAGTTTCACCCTGTCTCACCTTCTCCCTCAGAAAGTCAGCGTGGTCTTGGCGGGCTCTGTCCATGACTCTCTGGTTGATGTTGTGACTCTGATAGCGTCTTCGGTAGGTCCCAAGGAAGGTCTCGGCCTCCCGAGTCAACTCCGCCTTTAGCGCCGTCATCAGGGTCTCCTCCGGCTCCTTCATCTCCTTCTGACACCGCTCCAGGAGCGACCTGCGCTGCTCCATGAACTGCTGCGCCATTGCGCTCGGATCCACCGTCAGACAGTCGGCCATGCGCTGGGACAGGCCGTCCTGCGTTGAGCGGGAGAGTAGTGGGAGAGGGGGGACACAAGGCTGTTACAAGGTGTGCGTGTGCGGCCCCATCTCACCCATGGACCCTCTGGCTACAGGAGAGCCACTCCCCCTGAACTCCGTGCCTGAGATCAGGATGCCTGTTGTACTGGGGTTGGGGTCTCCCATCTCTGCAGCCACCTCAGAAGCTGATACGAGGTCCCATCTCCTTCCAAAAAAACATAGGCCTTGGGGATGGCTGGGATGGTTCGCTGGGGTTCCCCTGCATGGGGCCACAACCCCTCTCACTCACCTTCTCCCTCAGAAAGTCAGCGTGGTCTCTGCGGGCTCTGTCCATGGCTCTCTGGTTGGTGGTGTGATGCTGATAGCGCCTTCGGTAGGTCTCCAGGAAAGTCTCGGCCTCCTGATTCATCTCCGCCTCTAGGGCCATCAGCAGGGTCTCCTTCTCTGGCTCCCTCATCTCCTCCCGGCACCGCCCCAGCAGCCACCTGCGCTGCTCCTCGAACTGCTCTGCCATTGCGCTCGGATCCACTGTCAGACAGTCGACCATGCGCTGGGACAGGCCATCCTGCGTTGAGCGGGAGAGGAGGGGGAGAGGAGGGGCCCAGGCTGTTAGAAGGGGCGGGTGTGTGACCCTGTCTCACCCATGGACCCTCCGGCTACAGCACAGAAACTTCCCCTCACTCCTGTGACTGAGATCAGGGCCTCCACTGTACATGGGTTGGATTCACCAATCTCCATAAGTACCCTAGGAGCTGGAGATATGAGCTCCCATCACCTCCCCAAAGCCTAAAGCCCACGGGGTTGGCCGGGATGTTTCCCTCTGGGGTTCCCCTGGCTGGGGGCGCAGACCCTTCCGCCCCCTGGACTCACGTTCTCCCTCAGAAACACAGCGTGGTCTGTGCGGGCGCTGTCCACGACTCTCTGGTTGTGGAAGGTGATGGCCATCTGTGCCGGGGGGACAAGACCGGGGTGAGCCGCAGTTCATGGGGCCCCGACTCCATTTAGTGGCTGAAGCTTCCACCGCAGCAGCCTCACGTAACAGAGAGATGCCACTAGGTGGCATGGCGGCCGCTTTCGGCGTCTGGTACCCCTGGTCTCCAATTTGTTCCCTAACGGCAGCCCAGCCTCGGCTCCCTTCCCCGCCCCGACCTGCATTTTGCCCTTGCAGCACTTTCCTCTGGCCAAAGACTTTGCAAACCCCTGTCCCAGCCGGGCTCGGCCTGAGGCTGACGCCCGAGAGCACATCAGTGACGCCGGTTCTCACGGGTCTGGTGGTGTGTGGGGGCTTTTATTGATCAGGGAGCAGGTGGTTTGGGTGTGAATCTCAGCTCTTTTTTGCTGGGGGGAGGCGTATTATTCTGGGCTGGGTAAACTCTTGTTGTGGAGGAGCAATTGTTGGTCTGAGACCTGATCAACCCCCCATATTAAACCAGCTTTGGGCGAAACTCAGAGATCTCACCACTAAACGTGAAAAAAAAGAGAATTTTCTGCTGCTGACAAAGTATTCCCTCCCCAGGAATGCCCCTAACGAGAGTTATAACCACCCAGGTTGTAAAGTAGAAACAGCCAGGTGCTGTGAAATTAGGGAGGATAGAGAAGGAGACTCAACAAACATAAAATAAGCTAAAAGAAAAGGAGTACTTGTGGCACCTTAGAGACTAACAAATTTATTTGAGCATAAGCTTTCATGAGCGACTGCTCATGTCATCGGATGCATTCAGTGGAAAATACAGTGTGGAGATTTTATATACACAGAGAACATGAAACAATGGGTGTTACCAGACAGACTGTAATGAGAGTGATCAGGTAAGGTGAGCTATTACCAGCAGGAGAGCGGCAGGGGGCGGGGGGAACCTTTTGTAGTGATAATCAAGGTGGGCCATTTCCAGCAGTTGACAAGAACAGTTGGGGGGAAATAAACAAGGGAAAATAGTTTTACTTTGTGTAATGACACATCCACTCCCAGTCTTTATTCAAGCCTAAGTTAATTGTATCCAGTTTGCAAATTAATTCCAATTCACCAGTCTCTCGTTGGAGTCCGTTTCTGAAGTTTTTTTGTTGAAGAATTGCAACTTTTAGGTTTGTAATCGAGTGACCAAAGAGATTGAAGTGTTCTCCGACTGGTTTTTGAATGTTATAATTCTTGACGTCTGATTTGTGTCCATTTATTCTTTTACGTAGAGACTATCCAGTTTGGCCAACGTACATGGCAGAGGGGCATTGCTGGCACATGATGCCATATATCATATTGGTAGATGTGCAGGTGAACGAGCCTCTGATAGTGTGGCTAATGTGATTAGGCACTATGATGGTGTCCCCTGAATAGATATGTGGACACAGTTGGCAATGGCTTTGTTGCAAGGATAGGTTCCTGGGTTAGTGTTTTTGTTGCGTTGTGTGTGGTTGCTGGTGAGTATTTGCTTCAGGTTGGGGGGCTGCCTGTAAGCAAGGTCTGGCCTGTCTCCCAAGATCTGTGAGAGTGATGGGTCGTCCTTCAGGATAGGTTGTAGATCCTTGATGACGCGTTGGAGAGGTTTTAGTTGGGGGCTGAAGTAATGGCTAGTAGCATTCTGTTATTTTCTTTGTTGGGCCTGTCCTTTAGTAGGTAACTTCTGGGTACTCTTCTGGCTCTGTCAATGTGTTTCTTCACTTCAGCAGGTGGGTATTGTAGTTGTAAGAACGCTTGATAGAGATCTTGTAGGTGTTTGTCTCTGTCTGAGGGGTTGGAGCAAATGCGGTTGTATCGCAGAGCTTGGCTGTAGACAATGGATTGTGTGGTGTGGTCTGGGTGAAAGCTGGAGGCATGTAGGTAAGTATAGCAGTCAGTAGGTTTCCGGTATAGGGTGGTGTTTATATGACCATCATAGAATCTTAGAATATCCAGGTTGGAAGGGACCTCAGGAGGTCATCTAGTCCAATCACCTGCTCGAAGCAGGACCAATCTCCAATTTTTGCCCCGATCCTTAAATGGCCCCCTCAAGGATTGAACTCACAACCCTGAGTTTAGCAGACCAATGCTCAAACCACTGAGCTATCCCTCCCCCCACCTTATTAGCACCGTAGTGTCCAGGAAGTGGATCTCTTGTGTGCACTGGTCCAGGCTGAGGTTGATGGTGGGATGGAAATTGTTGAAATCATGGTGGAATTCCTCAAGGGCTTCTTTTCCATGGGTCCAGATGATGAAGATGTCATCAATATAGCGCAAGTAGAGTAGGGGCATTAGGGGACGAGAGCTGAGGAAGCGTTGTTCTAAATCAGCCATAAAAATGTTGGCATCCTGTGGGGCCATGCGGGTACCCATAGCAGTGCCGCTGATCTGAAGGTATATATTGTCCCCGAATGTGAAATAGTTATGGGTGAGGACAAAGTCACAAAGTTCAGCCACCAGGTTAGCCGTGACATTATCGGGGATACTGTTCCTGACGGCTTGTAGTCCATCTTTGTGTGGAATGTTGGTGTAGAGGGCTTCTACATCCATAGTAGCCAGGATGGTGTTTTCAGGAAGATCACCGATGGATTGTAGTTTCCTCAGGAAGTCAGTGGTGTCTCGAAGATAGCTGGGAGAGCTGGTAGCGTAGGGCCTGAGGAGGGAGTCTACATAGCCAGACAATCTGCTGTCAGTTTGCCAATGCCTGAGATGATAGGGCGTCCAGGATTTCCAGGTTTATGGATCTTGGGTAGCAGATTAAATACCCCAGGTCGGGGTTCCAGGGGTGTGTCTGTGTGGATTTGATCTTGTGCTTTTTCAGGGAGTTTCTTGAGCAGATGGTGTAGTTTCTTTTGGTAACTCTCAGTGGGATCAGAGGGTAATGGCTTGTAGAAAGTGGTGTTGGAGAGCTGCCGAGCAGCCTCTTGTTCATATTCCGACCTATTCATGATGACAACAGCACCTCCTTTGTCAGCCTTTTTGATTATGATGTCAGAGTTGTTTCTGAGGCTGTGGATGGCATTGTGTTCTGCACGGCTGTGGTTATGGGGCAAGTGATGCTGCTTTTCCACAATTTCAGCCCGTGCACGTCGGCGGAAGCACTCTATGTAGAAGTCCAGTCTGTTGTTTCGACCTTCAGGAGGAGTCCACCTAGAATCCTTCTTTTTGTAGTGTTGGTAGGAAGGTCTCTGTGGGTTAGTATGTTGTTCAGAGGTGTGTTGGAAATATTCCTTGAGACGGAGGCTTCGAAAATAGGATTCTAGGTCACCACAGAACTGTATCATGTTCATGGGGGTGGAGGGACAGAAGGAGAGGCCCCGAGATAGGACAGATTCTTCTGCTGGGCTGAGAGTATAGTTGGATAGGTTAACAATATTGCTGGGTGGGTTAAGGGAACCACTGTTGTGGCCCCTTGTGGCATGTAGTAGTTTAGATAGTTTAGTGTCCTTTTTCTTTTGTAGAGAAGCAAAGTGTGTGTTGTAAATGGCTTGTCTCGTTTTTGTAAAATAAGCTGTGAGCCATGTTTTTATGCTGACCCTCTGCACAGAGAAGGTCACACCTAAGTTACCATTTGGGCATGAAAGAGAAAATGTAAAGAACCTGGGCAGTAAGAAGGACACATAGGTGCCAGGGTGTAATTGGTTAAAAATTCTGTTATTTAGGGGTGTGGGATATTGTGACAGGTTTAGTAAATTTGAAAGAGGGAGCTAATTTTACCGATAGATGTAAATGAAAAAACAATGCTCTTTGGGAATCAACTCCGGAGAGCAGAACAACATCAAGCTGCAAAACATCCTACCCCCTGCAAGACCGTGACATGTATGGGCACCGGGAACCCCCCATGAGAGGATCCTGACTCACCATTGATGAAATTTCTCCATATATTGGGAGTGGTGAGCATATAAGATTTGCTTGGTATATGTATTCTGTGTGTGTTGTTAATAAATGAATGTAAAGAGCACAACTGTGTAAGACTTTCGCTGGGAAAAGGTACCGCAGACCCGTACAGCCCGGAGCCCCGAGGGGAAAGGGTGGGTACTTAAATTGACCCGGTTTCTTCCTGAGCCCCGTGGGTACCAATAGGTTTGCCAGAGGCTGGGAATGGGCAACAGGGGATGGATCACTTGATGATTCCCTGTTCTGTTCATTCCCTCTCGGGCACCTGGCATTGGCCACTGTCGGCAGACGGGACACTGGGCTAGATGGACCTTTGGTCTGACCCAGTGTGGCCGTTCTTATGTTCTTATGTGTCTTCCACCCTGAGACCTCAGTAGAGAAAGGGCGAGGGTGCCCTAAATTGACTGGGTCACGCCTTGAACCCTAGCTAGGGTATAGGCGGGGGGGCCCTAAATCGACCGGGGAACACAATGACTCCGGAACAGTCTCTGCTGTGGCACTATTGTGGAGTGGCAATTGCGGAGTAGTCATTCCAGAATGGCTAGGCTGGTCTATCCCCCCCCCCAAGGACATAAACTGCACCCCTCTCACCACAAATTCTCCTCTAGAAGAGGGCCTGGGTAGCACCTGTCCCAGGCGATCTGAGGCTGAAACCCAAGAGCACTTTGCAGTCCGTGCTTATGGGTAAGTCTACACTGCGATGTAAGGCCAGAGTTAGTAGGAATTGAGTTAGCAGCCCCTGGGGTTGTTAACCTAAGGTTGGAGCATCTACACGCATTTGTAAGCCCAGGTTAGGACTGCAGTCCTGGCACACCCCACCCCAGGAAAAGGAGCAATCAGTGTGGAACCTCAGGCCTGCCTAGAAAGGCTGCAGGGAAGCAGCCAATCAGGGTGTGGCAGGCTCAGTTAAAAGGAGCTGCAGGGGTGAGCCGGGTTGTCGCTGGCTGGGACCAGAAGGGTAAAGAAAGACTAAAAGACTGTGAGACTCCACAGGGAAAGAGACTGGGGAAGGAACCCTGCTCACGCAGGGATAGGTCTGGGAAACTCTGCAGGTGAAGAGGCCTGAGAGAAGACCCTGAGAACTCAGGACAGAGATGGAGAAACTCTCCAGGCAAGGAGGCCTAGGGGAGACCCTGCTCATACAGGGAACAGAGAGAGAACCCAAGAAGGTGATGGGACAGAGTGGGAAGCACCCCAGGAAACGCAGCAGTAGCAACTAGTAATGAAAGCAGCAGGTGGCTGCTACTTGCAGGGTTCCTGAGTTGCGACCTGGAGTAGTGAGCAAGCCTATGGCCCCAGCCGGCCACTGGCGCAGTGGCCAAAGCCCTGAAAAGGGGGCAAGTTTAGTTTTAGAGCCTGAGAAAGGGGCTAGATGCTAGAGTGTAAACAGGCCCAGAGATGAGGCTCAAGCCCCCAGAGAGGGCCAGCCGTTTGTTGGACTGTGTTACCCTGAAAGGGGCTCCTTCGTGTATCTCAGACTATGTGTGACTTAGCCGGAGGGCTGAGCCACCCCTGACTAAGGCAACTGCCAACAGGGAGCACCGGGAACAGAAAATGGGAAGAATGCAGGATCGCCCCAGCTGGCAGGAGGCACTCATGAGAGGTGACTATTCCTTCATCACACCAACCCATAGAGGAGAATGGGGCATGTGAGGAGCATGAACAACAGTTCCCAGGAGCCACCTTGGCAGCGTTGCCAAATGGAAACATTTGGGGGGTTTGTGGGCACCTCAACGGTTTCTGCATGAAAAACCAAAACAAAATCGTCACTTTTGGGCCAGCTCTGATAAACTGCTGTTATTCACATGCCGACACACACAGGGCTGGTGTGTCTCCATGCCTGGGGACAGGCGTGTTGATGTTACGGGCCTCATGAACTGGAGATATATCCGTAGACTGGGCAACCCCTCCAGTATTAGTGACATTGCACCCCATATGTTTATGGAAATATGCTTATGAGTGAATATGATGTAACTGGAATATGCTTCATGCAAAAAGGTCTCTTGTAAGGTATCATTACAAAGCTTATAATCTACTGAGTGTGGTCATCCTATTTGTATGAACGTATCGTTCTTGTACCTGAAGTTAGAATTATGAAGTTTTACTCTGAAGTCCTATTGTAACTATGCAAAGGGCAGGCCATTAATGGTGGTTTGGAATCTTGATGGCTTCCATTAACTAGGACAATTGGTTGTAAATGGCTCTGTTTACTTGAAAGCCTTCCTGTGTTCCTATAAGTCAGGCCGGGAAGAATGGAGGCTTGAAGTCTCACAGGACATGTGAACATGTCACATGACACTGGAATCCATCTTAAACCTGGTGCTTTTCCATTTAGAAGGAACGGTGGGAACCCAGAGAGACAAAGGATTCCCGCCTTGTGCCAAAGATATAAAAGGGGGTGGAATAGAACAAAGGGGGCTGCCAGTCATGAGAAATCCCTAGTTACCACCTGAGCTGGAACTAACGAGAACTGTACCAGGGAAAAGGATTGGGCTCAGACTAGGAAGGAGTCTAGTCTGTGAAAGAAGCTTATTGGAACATCTCTGAGGGTGAGATTTACCTTTATTCAGTTTCTTCATGTATTAGGCTTAGACGTGTGTGTTTTGTTTTATTTTGCTTGGTAACTTACTTTGTTCTGTCTGTTATCACTTAAAACCACTTAAATCCTACTTTTTTTACTTAATAAAATCACTTTTCTTTATTAATGAACCCAGAGTAAGTGATTAATACCTGGGGGAGCAAACAGCTGTGCATACCTCTCTATCAGTGTTATAGAGGGCAGACAATTCATGAGTTTACCCTGTATAAGCTTTATACAGAATAAAACAGGTTTATTTGGGGTTTGGATCCCTTTGGGAGCTGGGTGTCTGGGTGCTGGAGATAGGTGACTTGCTGAGCAGTTTTTGGTTAAAGTCTGCAGCTTTGGGGGCATGGACCCAGACCTGGGTCTGTGTTGCAGCAGGCTAGTGTGTCTAGCTCAAGAAGGCAGGGTTCTGGAGGCCCAGGCTGGCAGTGGAAAATGGGCTCAGAGGTAATTCCAGCACGTCAGGTGACAGTCCCAAGGGGGTCTCTGAGACCGAACCAGTCACACCCTCCAGCATCAGCCACCAGCATCAGCATCAGCCACCCTCTAGTCTAGTCAAATTCTTCTACCTTGGAGTCCGAGAACCCGAGACCCTTTCCCAGTCACCTCCAGTAGGATGGCCCCAGTTCCAAGCACCTCACCAGCCCTGGCATGGACGACAGAGGGGAGACACCCTGCGATCAGGTCAGAGGCAGAGACAATACCTGACAGGGAGAGGAGAAGCCGAAGCGATGTTTCTTCATCACATCAGATAAATTCTGAAAAGGAACCAAAAGAAATCACCATGTCACAGACTCCACAAGGCTTAGAAAGGCTGGGAACATGGAGATGGCTCCCCTGGCGCTGAGATGCAGCCACCTCTGGGGTGGGGCAGCTGGGGAATTGGGGGTATTGGGGTCATTACTGACTGCAAGGGGAGAGCATCCCCTTCCTGCTCCCTCCAGCACAGCTGGCCAGTCCTCACCTTTATCTTGGCAGCGAGCTGTGTCCCGGTGAGCATCTCCCGATGCCGGTCTGTCTGGACATGTTGACTGGCCGAGCTCACCAGGGTGGTGACGTAGTCCCTCAGGCTCTCCCGGAAATTCTCACCCATGTCTGCAAAGGGGAGAGAGATGGACAATGGTGGTGGAATATAGGGCCTGTCTGATCCCCCTACTTTCTACCTTCCACATGTAGGCATGATCAGCGCCCCAATCACATTGCTCTGCACATGGCAGGGGGCTTAGAGCCAATGACCAGGGTCCATTACCTCTGAGAGTTCCCTCGCTCCCCATCGTGATCCGCTCGCCAGGAAAGGGCATCAGATAACAGCAGCTGCTGCTTCTCTTCAGTGCTTCCAGGGCCTTGGGGTGTTTGCAAGGGGACCTCGCCTCCAGCTTCTGCCGAGACAGGGGGAATCGTTACATTCACACACAAAAACCTGTGTTAACATTAGCCAGACCTGCCAGGCAGTCAGAGAGGGTCTGGAGGAGCCCGGCCTCGTTTGTGGTAGGAATTGGAAGGGGTGCAGTGAACAAGGCAGGGGATGGCAGGAAGAGAAAGGAGTGAGTCCCAGGGCTCAGCCTCCTCACACCCCCTACCCCATTCCCAGTCTATCCAGATGCCTTGTCCCACCCTGCTCCTTTCCCTCCTCCTGCTCTGGCTTTTCTCCCCTCCACACTGCAATCAAGCAGCTTCCTTCCAGCATGGATTCACCAAGGGAAGGTCATGCCTGACTAATCTAATCGCCTTCTATGATGAGATTACTGGTTCTGTGGATGAAGGGAAAGCAGTGGATGTATTGTTTCTTGACTTTAGCAAAGCTTTTGACACGGTCTCCCACAGTATTCTTGTCAGCAAGTTAAGGAAGTATGGGCTGGATGAATGCACTACAAGGTGGGTAGAAAGCTGGCTAGATTGTCGGGCTCAACGGGTAGTTATCAATGGCTCCATGTCTAGTTGGCAGCCGGTATCAAGTGGAGTGCCCCAAGGGTCGGTCCTGGGGCCAGTTTTGTTCAATATCTTCATAAATGATCTGGAGGATGGTGTGGATTGCACTCTCAGCAAATTTGCGGATGATACTAAACTGGGAGGAGTGGTAGATACGCTGGAGGGGAGGGATAGGATACAGAAGGACCTAGACAAATTGGAGGATTGGGCCAAAAGAAATCTGATGAGGTTCAATAAGGATAAGTGCAGGGTCCTGCACTTAGGACGGAAGAACCCAATGCACAGCTACAGACTAGGGACCGAATGGCTAGGCAGCAGTTCTGCGGAAAAGGACCTAGGGGTGACAGTGGACGAGAAGCTGGATATGAGTCAGCAGTGTGCCCTTGTTGCCAAGAAGGCCAATGGCATTTTGGGATGTATAAGTAGGGGCATAGCGAGCAGATCGAGGGACGTGATCGTTCCCCTCTATTCGACATTGGTGAGGCCTCATCTGGAGTACTGTGTCCAGTTTTGGGCCCCACACTTCAAGAAGGATGTGGATAAATTGGAGAGAGTCCAGCGAAGGGCAACAAAAATGATTAGGGGTCTGGAACACATGAGTTATGAGGAGAGGCTGAGGGAGCTGGGATTGTTTAGCCTGCAGAAGAGAAGAATGAGGGGGGATTTGATAGCTGCTTTCAACTACCTGAAAGGGGGTTCCAAAGAGGATGGCTCTAGACTGTTCTCAATGGTATCAGATGACAGAACGAGGAGTAATGGTCTCAAGCTGCAGTGGGGGAGGTTTAGATTGGATATTAGGAAAAACTTTTTCACTAAGAGGGTGGTGAAACACTGGAATGCGTTACCTAGGGAGGTGGTAGAATCTCCTTCCTTAGAGGTTTTTAAGGTCAGGCTTGACAAAGCCCTGGCTGGGATGATTTAACTGGGAATTGGTCCTGCTTCGAGCAGGGGGTTGGACTAGATGACCTTCTGGGGTCCCTTCCAACCCTGATATTCTATGATTCTATGTTTCTATGATTCTCCAGCCACCTGGGCTCACTGAGAGCATGGGAGAGACAGGAGGTCCCCTCTCAGTTCTGGTGCCTGGCCTGGAGCAGCACTTGCAGGGAAAGTCCAGCTTTGCTCCTGCAGCCCGAGGCTGGAGCGTGCTGGGTCGCTCTGTGGGGACGGGGCATGCTCAGTCTGGGCATCATGTGGAGCTGGGAGGGGTGGAGCATGGTTAGTGTGGATGAACTCTACCATATCACCGAAACACTGGCCACCCCACCCCCCACCAAATTTAGAGTCCTTACTCTGAAGCGGGGAGGGCGGGGAGGATAGAGATGTTAAAAAAAAAAAAAAAAAAAGGAACATCAGAATTTTCTTTCAATATTGCCAAACAACTTGGTTTTTTTAGCCTCATTCTCAGAAACAGCTGGAGGGAGCATCCGCGAATTGAGCTGGCGGCAGAGAACAAGCATGGAAAATTTCAGCCCAAACAGTTAAAGTTTGGCAAAGTTATAAGCAACTTTAAAGGGGTCTTATAATGGGATTTGTCACACAACCTTTATAAAGGGTGGGGTTACCAGCCCCTGAGAGGGGAAAGGCCCCGTGTCCAATTCCCTAACCCCTGAGCCAGCCAGTCCCCAACACTGGGTCTGGATCACAACTAGTGCCCCCAGAGGGGACAGGCCCTGGGTCCCATTCCCCATCCCCCCCAAGCCCCACACTCACCTGTCTGACTTGTCTCAGATGCTGCTCCCCACCCTGGGCTCCAAGGACCCGGGAGCTGCTCCAATCCCGCACCAGTAGGTCCAGGTGCTGCAGGGGAGACAGAAGGGGAGTGGGGGTCACTGGGGGTGGGGGGACACTGGGACGTGGAGAAGGACAGTGTCTGCTGGGGAAACCTCAACCCCTCAGGAGTGGGGCTGGGGTGCAAGGGGCAGGAGCATGCTGTGGAGTGGAGGAGGGGTGCAGTGTGGGGATACATGGGGCAGAGCAGGTGATGGGGGAGAAGCCATCTCACCTGAATGGGCTCCAGTCCATAGGCCTCTCCCACCACTTCGGCCACCTGCACAAACATCTGCAGAGAGAAAAGAGGGGCGGGGTGAGTCTGGGACCTGGGAGGTGTTTAGTTTGGGGGGAAATGATCCTGCCTGTGGACAGAAAGGGGCCTGATCACCCCCCACTCCCACACCTGAGCTTCTCCCTCTGCCCAGGGCAGAGAGCGAGGCCCAGCGAGCGCAAAACGAATCGTGAGATGGACAGAGACGATTTCAGTGGGTCAGAGAGAAAGAAGCTGCACCCGGCCATGGGAGTGAGAGGGAGGCTGTGGGACACGAGGGTCTGGCACGGGCGGGGAGGACTGTCAATGCGCACCCCTCCTCTATCCGGTTTCAGGGCTTTCTCCTTCTCTCAAGGTTCTCCATGGAGGTGAGGGAGGAATGCGGGGGGGAGTCAGTGATCGAAATTTGGGGTCCTTTTACAAAGGGGTTCCACTCCACAAACACCCCATTGCCTAGGGCTGATGGATGCTTCCAACTTTCTTTGCACAGCCCCAGGGGTCAAACCACGGCTCTGCTCACGCCTTGAACAATGTCAGCCACGTAGCATTTCCCTGAGCTCTGACTAGGCCTCCATATCTCTGCGTGAACCAGGTTTTTGCCAATGACAGAACCCGGGGCAGCGAGGGCAGATAAAACCCTCCCAAGCCGACCCCTCCCCTGAACAGAGAATCCCCCCAGGGCTCAGTACAGGGGCGGAGAAGCCATATACCACAGGTGGCAGTGATGTCACTAAGGGTGCGACTGACAGAGGCTCGACCCAGCGGGGCTGGGGCTGGGTAAGAGGCTGGAGAGAAGAGAAAAGCAGTGCAGGGGGACAGAGCGACCGCCCCAGGACCTGGCCCCAGCAGCTTCCCACCAATGGCAGAGCTGGGCTGGAGGGGAGGGAGGGGTCCTAACTTTGGCCCAGTGGCCCACGCCAGACACCTGGGAGCAGAGAGCCAGGCTGGGCCGTGCAGTGACAGTGCTGACTCCAGAGGCCCACGTGACCGTGGGAGAGTCGGTTTCTCTCTCTGGGCCTCAGTTTCCCCACAGGAGCTATGGGGAGGGATAATAATGCTGTGGGCGTCATGGGAGAACCTGGTCCGGCCACGTTCTGCACTGCCCGGCCTCACCTCCAGGTATTCGAGATCCGGGTCCTTCACCCGACAGCCAGTGTTCAGTATCTGCAAATAATCACGAGACAGACAGAGCTACAGCAATGAGCAGGGACGGCCGCCCCAGGCCCCTTCCCAGCCACGTCACCCGCTCCCTGCAGCACAGCGCCCCCTAGCGCCTCACTGGGGCATTGGGGCCGGCCCTGACCCCCAGGGGAGAGCGCCCCCCGCTAAGCCTCCACCCTGCTCCCTGCAGCACAGCGCCCCCCGGGGAGCCCCCCAACCTGGTAGGAGCTGAGCAGCATGGAAAAGGCGGAGAGTTTGATGCTGGTCTCCTTGTTGCTCTCAATGTCCATGGAGCCCTCGGTGTCGACCAGCAGCACGGCCACCTGGGAGCCAAGAGGGAGAGCCCCAGGTCAGCTCCCGGCTTTGTCCAGCCACCCACGGCCCCTCCGCCCCCAGAGCCTGCTCCCTGCTCAGCCCCCATGGCCCCTGGCATCTCCTTCTCACCTCCCCCAGAAGTCCCCCAGGGTTAGCTCTTTACTTCTGTCTCTTCTCCATTCCCCCCTGTTCTCTCTCCACCTGGTTCCCTTCTCCCAGCCCCCGCATGGCCTCCTCCCCCTTCCCTGTGCACCCCCAATGCCCCCACTTACTTTCCCCGACTTGGCCGGGACCCAGAAGGGCTGACTCCATGCCCACACCCCATTGGTGACTCGCTCCTCGTCCGCACGCCACTCGAACCCCTCCAGGGGCTCATCCTCCCGGCCCATCCATGACCCGTCCCTTGCGTCCTGCTGGGAGGGAACATGGTGGGGGAGAGGTCAGTGCAGGGTGGTGGAGGAGAGTGACTGATACCCCCCCCCCCAACCCTAGGCTGCAAACCCTGGGAGGGGGGCAGGGGTTAATTGTGCTAGTGTGGGGCAGGGAGGAATACGTGGTGACGAGTGTGATCATAATCTGATAGACAAACAGATCCACGGCTGTCTAGACGAGAGAGAGACACGCTGTGTTCCAGACAGGCCGACAGACGCGTTAGGGTCCAGCCAGGGTCCGAGCTAACTGGACATGGTGGGGGGCGGGCTGCTCACAACCACGTGTGCAGCTCTGAGCCTGCCAGCAGGGGGCAGGATGGGGCCGCTCACACCCACAGCTCACTCCTGCCCCCGTTCACACTCACCGGGCTCCGGAGGCAGCGCAGCAGGTAGTTCAGCAGGAAGGATTTGCCCCGGCGCTGCTCCCCGATGATGGACACCAGGCAGACGGGGGCATCCCCCACCCCACCCTGCTCCAGGCAGCGGCTCAGGGCCTCCTCATCCAGGATCAGGTTCTCTTCCTCGTCCAGATGCACCAGCTGCACTGGGCGCCCCGGCTCCCGCTGAGCCCCCGGCCCCTGCTGCAGGGAGAGAGCAGGGTCAGAGCTGGGACCCCGCCCTCCAAGAGAGACTGTCCCATGGCCCCCTGATAAGAGCCCCATGCTCCATTCCCACCCCCTTGAGCTAGCCAGTCCCCTGCACCAAAGCCCCGTGACCCTTCCCAAGCCCCAACCCAGCCAGTGCCCGAGATCAGAGCCCCGGTCCCCATTCCCACCCCCCCAAACCAGCCAGTCCCCCTGCCCTGGGGCTGCACCAGAGCCAGAACTCTCTGGAGGGGAAATACCCCTAGATTCTTGCTGGAACACATCAAGGGAGACTGTGCCAGGCTAGGGAAGACATATAAAGAAATGGAGGCTAAAGTGATCTTCAGTGGGATGTTACCTGTCCCTGGAGGAGGAGAGCGAAGGCTAGACAAGATGCCGATAATCAACAGATGGCTCAGGCACTGGGACTAATGAGGGCTTGGGGATGTTCAACCACTGGGCGGTGTTCACAGACAGATGACTGGTTATGGGACGGATGCCACCTGCGTGGGGAGGGAGATAGACTTCCGGGGTGGAGGTTGGGACAGCTGAGGAAAAGGGCTTTAAACTAGGAACCCTGGGAGATGCTCATGGAACCTCCAGGCCTGATTCTCACACTGAGCGGGAGGAAAATCAAGTAGGAGAGGGTGCAGCAATGGAGAAAGGAATGACAGAGAGAAGGAGAACGCACGAGAAGAAGATCAATAGTGCCAAGAGCACCTACACTAACAGTCAGGTGGCCGATACTGGCAGTAAAATGACTGTACCTACCCGCGTGAGAAATCTGAGCAAAGCCAAGCAGAATCAGCAAGATGTCTGCTCAGCAATGCCAGGAGCCTGGGTGACAAAATGGAGGAAGTAGAACTATGGGTGCGGGACGGGAAAACAGATATTATCGGGTGAACAGAACCATGGGGCAGTAGCAGCCATGGCTGGATTACAGGAAAGAAAGAAGAAAGGCAGAGGTGGTGGAGTAGCATTGTCTGCTCATGACGAGGTGGAGTGGAAAGAAACGAGAAGGAATGGAATGGATAAAACAGAATCAATTTGTGTCAAAATCACTGTGGGGAAGAAGCTACCAGAGGCTCCCCTGGGACAGTGCTTCGGGTCTGCTAAAGACCCCCAGAATCCGGTTTGGGGGTGGATAGAAACCCCATGGATAGTTTGAATGAAATAAATACCACTGGGAATTGTGTGATTATGGGAGACTTTCGTTTTCCAGACAGAGATTGGGGGAGAAGAGCTACTAATAATGGTAGGGCTTGGATATTTTTGTATGTGACGGCTGACAGATTTCTTCACCAAGTAGTCACCGAAGCAACAAGAAGTGAGATCAGTTTAGATTTGGTATTGGTAAGTAGCGAGGACCGCACTGAAGAACTGGCTGTAAAGGATAGCCTTGGTTCGAGTGACCATGAGCTATTCAGGTTAAATTAAATGGAAGGATAAAGGAAATCAGGTTGGCAGCCGGGGGTCCTGGATTTCAAAAGGCCAAACTGTAAAACATTAAGGGAATTAGGGAAGTGGATGGCCTGCAAACCTCAAGGATCTGGATGTGGAAGAGGCTTGGAATTACTTTAAGCCAAAATTGCAGAAACTCTCTGGAGTCTGCATCCAGAAAGAAGCCCATAGGGAAGGGTTGCCGACCAAACTGGATGAACCAGGATCTCAAAGAGAAATTAAGAGAAAGCAGAAAGCCTACGAGGAATGGAAGATGGGATGGATCAGCAAGGAAAGCTGCCTTCTGGAGGTCAGAAAGTGGAGAGAAAACTGAGAACTGCCAAAGGCCTAGCAGAGTTAGACCGTGCAAAGGGAATTGAAACAAACACTAAAAGGTTAATTAGCCTTATAAATAAAAAGAAAACAAGGAAAGAAGAAGTGGGACCACTAAGCACTGAGGGTGGGGTGGAGATTTCAGATATAGGTGTAAGCAGAGGTTGAATGAGGTCTCCCCTGAGATCTGGTGGTGAGCTGTGGAAAAGGACTTCAGGAGCTGATCTCCTTTGGATGGGCACACCCACCCTGCCTAGGTGCTCAGCATGATGGGATTGCTTGCCCAAATGGTCACCTTTGGCTGGTGTTGGATCCCCAGTCTCCTTGTCATTGGGGCATGAAGGGCAGCAGAACTGTACCTGGCCGACCCCGATGGAACACACTCACACACACACTCACACTCACACTCACACACACATGTATGTGTGTTGTGGGCCTTGCCTAAGGGTCCCAAACACCACTTGTCCCTTCCTCTCTCCACTGTGTAACAACAAAGCTAATTGAGACTCAGTTGAGAGTCTTGTTACAGGCTGCAGAGCTGAAATGGCTGATACCTAGGTCAATGGATTAGATCTGCTTTGGGACAGTGTCTCTGATGCAAGACACTGCCCAGTGTGCCCCAGCCGTCAGGCTCCCCCACGAACAGCTGAAATCACTGAGAGCCGTGTGAAGTGGGGGGCCCAGAAGTCAGCTTGGTGTGGCCGGCAGGGCGGCTGGCGGAGAGGGGTGGCAAGCGGCCAGCAGGGCGGCTGGAAGAGAGGGCCAGAGAGCAGAGCCCCACAGAGAGGCACGGCAATCGGCCATAGGGGTGACAAGCGAGTGCCCGAGCCGCGTAGTGAGTAAGGTGCCTCCTTCTCTCCCCCGTCCCGTTTTCACCTAGGGTGGGAGGTGAACCCTGCAGATGCACCTGTGAACTCTGGGGCTGCACTGGCCAAGGACAGCAACTGTGAATGGGGTGCAGAGAAGGGACGGGCACGTTAAAGGGAATTTTGGGTTGCTGGCTTAAGACCCTGCAGGAAAAGGGCACTGCCCAACCTACTTGGGGGTGGGTCTTTTGCTCATTGTTTATGTTTATGAACCCTGTTTGTGGTGTTTTCCCAAATTAATGCCGAGGTACTTCCCTCCTTTTATTCAAAGTTTCTTTTCTACACTCAGACTCTGTGCTTGTGAGTGGGGAAGTTTTGCCTCTGAGAGGCTCCCAAGGGTGGTGTGTAAATTTCTCAGATCACTGGGTGGGGGCTCGTGCCGGTTCTGTGTTGTATTGTTGAAAAGAAACCCCTAGATATTGAACCGGGCCCTGGTTGCTGCTGGCTCCACCTGGAAGAAGGGTTACATGGGTATGGCCCAACAGCTAAACAAATATCTTGCCTCCGTTTTTAATAAGCGGATAGAGATGCTTGTGGCAAGATGGCTAATGAGAACAAGAATACGGGAGTAGAAATTGTCACTGAATTGGCTGAAATGGAAGCCAAATTCAAACAGCTTAATGGGACCAAACTGGGGGGGTCTGGACCATCTCCACCAAAGAATATTGAGGAAACTGGCACACAAAATTGCAAGCCCAATAGCAAGGATTTGTAATTAATCTGTAAAAGTCAGGGCTTGTATCCCATGACGGGAGAATGGCTAATATAGTACATATATTTAAGAAGGGAGAAAAGAAGTGATCCAGGAAACCACAGGTCCATCAGTTTGACCTCAATTGTATGCATGGTCTTGGACGAAGGTTTGAAAGAGACAGGAGTTGAGGACATAGAGATAAATGGTAATTGGCATAAAATACATTCTGGCTTTCCAAAAGGTAGATCATGCCAAACCAACCTGATCTCTTGCCTTGAGAAGATAACTGATTTTCTAGACAAAGGAAACGCAGTTGATCTAATCTGCGTGGATTTCAGTAAGCCGTTTGATACAGTGCCACATGGGAAATTAAATTGGAGAAGATGGGAATTAAGATGAGAATCGAAAGGTGGGTAAGGAGAGGTTAAAAGGGAGACTACAATGGGTCAAACTGAACGGTGAACTGTCAGGCTGGAGGGAGGTTACTAGTGGAGTTCCTCGGGGATCGGTCTTGGGAGCAATCTTATTAACATTTTCATTAATGACCTAGGCACAAAGAGTGGGAGTGTGCTGATCAAATTTTGGGATGACCCACAGCTGGGAGGTATTGCCAGTACGGAGGAGGACCGGAATATCGTACAGACGATCTGGACAACCTTGAAACTGGAATAATAAAAATGGGATGAAATTGAATAGTGAAAAGTGCAAGGTCATGCATTTTGGGACTAACAACAAGAATTTGTGCTACAAGGTGGGGACATCTCAGTTGGAAGCGACAGAGGAGGAGAAAGACCTGGGTTTATTGGCTGATGACTGGATGACTATGAGCCGCCAATGGGATGTGGCCGTGAAAAAGGCTGATGCAACCCTAGGATGTACCAGGTGAGGTACTGTATTTCCATCAGAGACAGGAAGTGTTATTGCCATGATACAAGGCACTGGTGAGCCCCCATCTGGAGCAGAGTGTGCAGTTCTGGTCTCCCACGTTTAAGAAAGATGAATTCAAACTGGAACAGGTAGAGAGAAGGGCTACTAGGATCATTCAACGACTGGAAAACCTGCCTTAGAAGAGGAGACTCAAAGAGCTCGGCTTGTTTAGCCGAACCAAAAGAAAGCTGAGGGGAGCTATGACTGCACTCTAGAAACACAACAGAGGGATAAATACCAGGGAGGGAGGGGAGTGATTTAAGTTAAGCACCAACCTTGACACAAGAACAAATGGCTATAAATTGGCCAGCAACAAGTTTAGCCTTGAAATTAGACAACAGTTTCCAACCATCGGAGGAGTGAAGTTCTGGAACAGCCTCCCAAGGGGAACAAAAAACCTAACTGGATTCAAGACTGAGCGTGACAAGTTTATGGAGGGGATGGTATGATGAGGTTGTCTACAAAGGCATATGGCTCATGTGTGAAGGCTCATACCAAATATCCCCAAGGGCCAGTGATGGGACACTAGGTGGGGAGGGCTCTGAGTTACTATAGACAATTCTTTCCCAGGTGTCGGGCTGGTGGGTCTCACCCACATGCTCAGGGTCTAGCTGATCGTCATATTTGGGGTTGGGAAGGAATTTGCCCACAGGTCGGATTGGCAGAGACCTGGGGTGCGGGTTGCCTTCCCCTGCAGCACGGGGCACGGGTTACTTGCAGGTTTGAACTAGAGTAAATGGTGGAGTCTCTGTAACTTGGATTCTTTCGATCATGATTTGAGGACATCAGTAATTCAGCCAGAGGTTCGGGGTCTATTATAGGAGCGGGTAGATGAGGTTCTGTGGCCTGCAATGTACAGGAGTTCAGACTAGATGATCATGATGGTCCCTTCTGGCCTACCAGTCTATGAGTCTGTGTGTCCCATTCCTCACCCTTCTGAGACAGCCAGTCCCCACCCTGGGCCCAGATCAGGGCTGGTGCCCTCTAAAGGGGAAAGGCCTGGTGTCCCATCCCCTGCCCCCATGAGTCAGCCAGTCCCTGCCCTGCGGATGGATTGGGCCCAGCATCCCCTACAAGAGAAAGCTCCTTTTCCCCTTATCCGGCCTGTCTGGTCTCACCAACTCAGTCTCTTCCTGCTGAGGCTTCGCGATTTTCTCCGCTAGGTTTTTGACGTGTGTGTCTGGGATCATCCTATCCCCGGAGCAGGGAGCCCGGCACTCCGGGCAGCGGTGCCCCTGGGCTGAGATCTGGCTCCAGTGAGTCGAGAGGCAGCCCCGGCAGAAGTTGTGGCCGCACTCGATGGAGAGGGGGTCTTTCAAGACGTCCAAGCAGATGGAGCAGGTGACGTCCTCCCGGAGTTGTTCCATCCCCCTGATCCCGCAGGCCTGGGGAGATCCACTGGGTTAGTAGCTAGCACATGGGAACACCGGGGCTAAGATGCTACCGCAGAGGGGCTGGGAGCCAGGACTCCTGGGCTCTACTGTTAGTTTTCACCACTCGGCTGGGTAAGTTTCCAATCACTGTTGTGCGCTGGCCACTCCCATTTTGGGGCAGGGCTGGCAAGTGCCTCTCTGCTCTTGGGGTTTTGGGTTACCTGGGGCCCGGGAGTGCAGCCCTGTCCCCCTCCCAGCTCTGCAAATGCCCCTCACTCCCAACCCATAACCCCCTACTATCCCAGCCCTGCCCCCTTCTCTGCCGGTGCCCGTCACTCCCGAACCACAGCCGCCTGCTAGCCCAGCCCTGGGCTCCCCCCAACCTCTGCCGGTGCCCCTCACTCCCGACCCACAGCCCCCTGCTAGCCCAGCCCTGGGCTCCCCCCAACCTCTGCCGGTGCCCCTCACTCCCGACCCACAGCCCCCTGCTAGCCCAGCCCTGGGCTCCCCCCAACCTCTGCCGGTGCCCCTCACTCCCGACCCACAGCCCCCTGCTAGCCCAGCCCTGGGCTCCCCCAACCTCTGCCGGTGCCCGTCACTCCCGACCCACAGCCCCCTGCTAGCCCAGCCCTGGGCTCCCCCAACCTCTGCCGGTGCCCGTCACTCCCGACCCACAGCCCCCTGCTAGCCCAGCCCTGGGCCCCCCCAACCTCTGCCGGTGCCCCCTCACTCCCGACCCACAGCCCCCTGCTAGCCCAGCCCTGGGCTCCCCACAACCTCTGCCGGTGCCCGTCACTCCTGACCCACAGCCCCCCGCTAGCCCAGCCCTGGGCTCCCCCAACCTCTGCCGGTGCCCCTCACTCCCGACCCGCAGCCCCCCGCTAGCCCAGCCCTGGGCTCCCCCAACCTCTGCCGGTGCCCCTCACTCCCGACCCGCAGCCCCCTGCCAGCCCAGCCCTGGGCTCCCCCCAACCTTTGCCAGTGCCCCCCACTCCTGACCCACAGCCCCCTGCTAGCCCAGCCCTGGGCTCCCCCAACCTCTGCCGGTGCCCCTCACTCCCGACCCACGGCCCCCGCTAGCCCAGCCATGGGCTCTCCCCAACCTCTGCCGGTGCCCCTCACTCCTGACCCACAGCCCCCGCTAGCCCAGCCCTGGGCTCCCCCCAACCTCTGCCGGTGCCCCTCACTCCTGACCCACAGCCCCCTGCTAGCTCAGCCCTGGGCTCCCCCCAACCTCTGCCGGTGCCCCTCACTCCCGACCCACAGCCCCCTGCTAGCCCAGCCCCGGGCTCCCCCCAACCTCTGCCGGTGCCCCTCACTCCCGACCCACAGCCCCCTGCTAGCCCAGCCCCGGGCTCCCCCCAACCTCTGCCGGTGCCCCTCACTCCCGACCCACAGCCCCCTGCTAGCCCAGCCCTGGGCTCCCCCCAACCTCTGCCGGTGCCCCTCACTCCCGACCCACAGCCCCCTGCCAGCCCAGCCCTGGGCTCCCCCAACCTCTGCCGGTGCCCCTCACTCCCGACCCACGGCCCCGGCTAGCCCAGCCCTGGGCTCCCCCCAACCTCTGCCGGTGCCCCTCACTCCCGACCCACAGCCCCCCGTTAGCCCAGCCCTGGGCTCCCCCAACCTCTGCCGGTGCCCCTCACTCCTGACCCACAGCCCCCTGCTAGCCCAGCCCTGGGCTCCCCCAACCTCTGCCGGTGCCCCTCACTCCCGACCCACAGCCCCCTGCTAGCTCAGCCCCGGGCTCCCCCCCAACCTCTGCCAGTGCCCCTCACTCTTGACCCACAGCCCCCTGCTAGCCCAGCCCTGGGCTCCCCCCAACCTCTGCCGGTGCCCGTCACTCCCGACCCACAGCCCCCCGCTAGCCCAGCCCTGGGCTCCCCCCAACCTCTGCCGGTGCCCCTCACTCCCGACCCACAGCCCCCTGCTAGCCCAGCCCTGGGCTCCCCCAAACCTCTGCCGGTGCCCGTCACTCCTGACCCACAGCCCCCCGCTAGCCCAGCCCCGGGCTCCCCCAACCTCTGCAGGTGCCCCTCACTCCTGACCCACAGCCCCCTGCTAGCTCAGCCCTGGGCTCCCCCCAACCTCTCCCGGTGCCCCTCACTCCTGACCCACAGCCCCCCGCTAGCCCAGCCCTGGGCTCCCCCAACCTCTGCCGGTGCCCCTCACTCCCGACCCACAGCCCCCCCGCTAGCCCAGCCCTGGGCTCCCCCAACCTCTGCCGGTGCCCGTCACTCCCGACCCACAGCCCCCTGCGAGCCCAGCCCCGGGCTCCCCCCAACCTCTGCCGGTGCCCCTCACTCCCGACCCACAGCCCCCTGCTAGCTCAGCCCTGGGCTCCCCCCAACCTCTGCCGGTACCCCTCACTCCCGACCCACGGCCCCCTGCTAGCCCAGCCCTGGGCTCCCCCCAACCTCTGCCGGTGCCCCTCACTCCCGACCCACAGCCCCCTGCTAGCCCAGCCCCGGGCTCCCCCCAACCTCTGCCGGTGCCCCTCACTCCCGACCCACAGCCCCCTGCTAGCCCAGCCCCGGGCTCCCCCAACCTCTGCCGGTGCCCCTCACTCCCGACCCACGGCCCCCGGCTAGCCCAGCCCTGGGCTCCCCCCAACCTCTGCCGGTGCCCCTCACTCCCGACCCACAGCCCCCCTGCTAGCCCAGCCCTGGGCTCCCCCCAACCTCTGCCGGTGCCCCTCACTCCTGACCCACAGCCCCCGTTAGCCCAGCCCTGGGCTCCCCCCAACCTCTGCCGGTGCCCCTCACTCCCGACCCACAGCCCCCTGCTAGCTCAGCCCCGGGCTCCCCCCAACCTCTGCCGGTGCCCCTCACTCCCGACCCACAGCCCCCTGCTAGCTCAGCCCCGGGCTCCCCCCAACCTCTGCCGGTGCCCCTCACTCCCGACCCACAGCCCCCCTGCTAGCTCAGCCCCGGGCTCCCCCAACCTCTGCCGGTGCCCGTCACTCCCGACCCACAGCCCCCTGCTAGCCCAGCCCTGGGCTCCCCCAACCTCTGCCGGTGCCCCTCACTCCCGACCCACAGCCCCCGCTAGCCCAGCCCCGGGCTCCCCCACAACCTCTGCCGGTGCCCCTCACTCCCGACCCACAGCCCCCCGCTAGCCCAGCCCCGGGCTCCCCCAACCTCTGCCGGTGCCCCTCACTCCCGACCCACAGCCCCCCGCTAGCCCAGCCCCGGGCTCCCCCCAACCTCTGCCGGTGCCCCTCACTCCCGACCCACAGCCCCCGCTAGCCCAGCCCCGGGCTCCCCCCAACCTCTGCCGGTGCCCCTCACTCCCGACCCACAGCCCCCCGCTAGCCCAGCCCCGGGCTCCCCCCAACCTCTGCTGGTGCCCCTCACTCCCGACCCACAGCCCCCTGCTAGCCCAGCCCCGGGCTCCCCCCAACCTCTGCCGGTGCCCCTCACTCCCGACCCACAGCCCCCGCTAGCCCAGCCCTGGGCTCCCCCCAACCTCTGCCGGTGCCCCTCACTCCCGACCCACAGCCCCCTGCTAGCCCAGCCCCGGGCTCCCCCCAACCTCTGCCGGTGCCCCTCACTCCTGAGCCACAGCCCCCTGCTAGCCCAGCCCCGGGCTCCCCCCAACCTCTGCCGGTGCCCGTCACTCCCGACCCACAGCCCCCTGCTAGCCCAGCCCTGGGCTCCCCCCAACCTCTGCCGGTGCCCCTCACTCCTGACCCACAGCCCCCTGCTAGCCCAGCCCCGGGCTCCCCCCAACCTCTGCCGGTGCCCCCTCACTCCCGACCCACGGCCCCGGCTAGCCCAGCCCTGGGCTCCCCCCAACCTCTGCCGGTGCCCCTCACTCCTGACCCACAGCCCCCCGTTAGCCCAGCCCTGGGCTCCCCCAACCTCTGCCGGTGCCCCTCACTCCCGACCCACAGCCCCCTGCTAGCTCAGCCCCGGGCTCCCCCCAACCTCTGCCGGTGCCCCTCACTCCCGACCCACAGCCCCCTGCTAGCTCAGCCCCGGGCTCCCCCAACCTCTGCCGGTGCCCGTCACTCCCGACCCACAGCCCCCTGCTAGCCCAGCCCTGGGCTCCCCCCAACCTCTGCCGGTGCCCCTCACTCCCGACCCACAGCCCCCTGCTAGCCAGCCCTGGGCTCCCCCCAACCTCTGCCGGTGCCCGTCACTCCCGACCCACAGCCCCCTGCTAGCCCAGCCCCGGGCTCCCCCCAACCTCTGCCGGTGCCCGTCACTCCCGACCCACAGCCCCCTGCTAGCCCAGCCCTGGGCTCCCCCAACCTCTGCCGGTGCCCCTCACTCCCGACCCACAGCCCCCTGCTAGCCAGCCCTGGGCTCCCCCAACCTCTGCCGGTGCCCCTCACTCCCGACCCACAGCCGCCTGCTAGCCCAGCCCTGGGCTCCCCCCAACCTCTGCCGGTGCCCCTCACTCCCGACCCACAGCCCCCCGCTAGCCCAGCCCTGGGCTCCCCCCAACCTCTGCCGGTGCCCCTCACTCCCGACCCACAGCCCCCTGCTAGCCCAGCCCCGGGCTCCCCACAACCTCTGCCGGTGCCCCTCACTCCCGACCCACAGCCCCCCGCTAGCCCAGCCCCGGGCTCCCCCCAACCCCTGCCGGTGCCCCTCACTCCCGACCCACAGCCCCCCGCTAGCCCAGCCCCGGGCTCCCCCCAACCTCTGCCGGTGCCCCTCACTCCCGACCCACAGCCCCCCGCTAGCCCAGCCCCGGGCTCCCCCCAACCTCTGCCGGTGCCCCTCACTCCCGACCCACAGCCCCCTGCTAGCTCAGCCCCGGGCTCCCCCCAACCTCTGCCGGTGCCCCTCACTCCTGACCCACAGCCCCCCGCTAGCCCAGCCCCGGGCTCCCCCCAACCTCTGCCGGTGCCCCTCACTCCCGACCCACAGCCCCCCGCTAGCCCAGCCCCGGGCTCCCCCCAACCTCTGCCGGTGCCCCTCACTCCCGACCCACAGCCCCCTGCTAGCCCAGCCCCGGGCTCCCCCCAACCTCTGCCGGTGCCCCTCACTCCTGACC